CGGTGAAGGAACGGGTGGTGGGGGAGATGGTGTGATTGGTGGTGGTGGAGGAATGGGTGGGGGAGGATCTGTTGATGGAGGAACTGGTGCGGGAATGATAGATGGTGGAGGTGGTATGACTGGTGCTGGAGGAGGTGTCCTTGACGGTAGTGATAGTTCAAAGTGGGATACTGGCAGTTATGGTACAGGTGGTGGCCTTGACACTTCTGGTGGTTCTGTATATGATGATGGACTTGGTGGCTATGCAGGAAGACAAAATGGAGAAACTACACTTAGTGCTGCTGCCATTGCTCTGATGTTTCTCGGAGGATTAATATTTGTGTGTAAGTATTTGTATTTTTATTTCATTTGCTTGTTCATATCAGTTGTTTGCTTTACAAATATATGTTGTCCACTTTCTCTTATTTAACTTTATATGTAAAATTACGGCTTCCATAAATTTGCCTTGGGTACCTTACCAAGTTTTTATGAAAAGAGAACTAGAAGACTGGAAGTTCCATTAACCAGAGCTGACCTTATGATGAATAACAGCCTAGGCAAGAAGCATCTTCAGTGATGTTCAGCTCCCTGCCCAGACATTTTTCCAGTTTTGTCAAGTTGTGTGGCTTGTACAGAACTGCAAGATCAAGCTTTCCTTTTCTATAATATATAACATCAAAAAGGGGAAAGAAACATATTTTCAAACTCATTGCAGAAAGCTAAGTTTTACAGTTAGTATCCACATACTTCACTATGTTTCCTTTGGGACTTTCCTTTAATTTGTTTTCCCTCAGATTGCAAAAGCCAGTTTTCAAGCCAGCAATCAAAATCCCCTTTTGATAGATTTCAGCTGCTTTCTGCCCATCCTTTCTACATGCTTTTTAATTCCATCCCCACCCAATTTTTGCTATTAGTTGCATTATGCATGTATATATATTTCCATGAAGTTAGGCTGGAGCAAGTAACGGGTTGGGGGTACCTTCTGTCAAAGTTCATCAGGTGCCCATCCTGTTCAGTGCTCCCCCACAAATGCAGGAAGTAATGCCACCTTCCCCTTTGCAAACATTTGTCAGATGTAAGAAGCTGAACAGTCAAATACCTGCAAAGCCATGAGTGAATGTGGCTAGCAAAACCTGGATTGGCATGTCGATCACCCCTTTGCAACAGGATTCTTGGGGTTTGGGGGAGGGGGTCATGTATCTACAGTATCCTCTAAGATTTGCAAGTGTCCCCTAGTTGTTAGCATTATGGAGGCATGCAAAAATTTTCCATTTACAGGGTTAATTCTCTTTGAAATCTCCATTTTAAAGATGGGATTTCTAGAGGATTAAGAATGATTTGCGAGCAGGGAAATATACATAGGCAGTATGTGTTTATGCACGTACCTATACTTAGAATGGAGTTTTGTGGGCTGGCTATCATGGCAGCTGCTGTACCAATCATGAAGACAGAGCTAGAATGGATCCCTGCAGCAGTAGGACAGCTTGTCTGCCTCACCAAAGTGATATCCTGGCACATGATAACTGTACCTTGCCTCAGCTTATAACCTCTTCCTGTAAAGAGGGGTAGTTAAATATAATGTTCCTTTGACAATGCTCAACTTCATAATTTCAAAGTTATAGGTGGGAATGATCTGTCAGATTTAAAAGCCAAAGTACTAACAGCGTTTTGCTTTAAATGTCTTTTGTGTCTCAGAACTTACTGCTTGAAAAATAAGTGCTGTGTTTTCATTTCTGTACAAAGACAAATAGTCCAGCTCACAGTTGAAAATTGGCACTTTTTGTTTGTTTTATCAGTGGTTCCAATTCTGATGTCACAGAGTGGCTGCTGTGGCTATCTTGGATCCGGTCCTGTTGGTGGTGTTGGGGCTGGCTTTGAGCCTGTGCCTGAATGTACAGAAGGTGCTATCCATTCATGGGGAATTGAAGGAGCACAGCCTGAAGACCGGGTTAGTCCATGACTTACTGTGCATAGCAGGGATAGACTGCCTAGTATACTGCACATGTTTGGGCTACAGTGTTCATTACCCCAGCCAGCATGCCCAACAGTAAAGGTTTTTGGGAAATGTATCCTAAAACACCTAGAGAATACTAGTAGGTGTGCATGCATTTTGTTAAATCCATTCTAGCTGCATAATAGGTATTGGAGATACCATAGCTTAGAAGTTAATGGGTGGCTAACTTCTGCATCAAAGGAAATAACAGACTGGAAAGCAAGTAAATAAACAATTAGGTTGTGGCATCCAGTGGTTTAAAGCCCACTATAAATACTATAACCCAGTTATAGTATTTTAATTCTTTTTTACCCTGTAAGGAACTTTGCCATTCCCAACATAGCACATCATGGAAGCAGATGATTCACTGATGGAATTCATTAAGGGGTCCAAAAAGGAGGGCACAATTTACCAAGAAGTTTCTTTGTACTACTGAAATAAATGGGAGCTTTTACAAGAGCACGATATTCTTGAAGAAGTCCTATTCAGATCACTGGGGCTTGTACAGAAAAAAATCCCAGTGGATTTTACTGCAAATCTCAAATCCTTATATTGACATGACATTAATGTAAAGAAAATGCTCCCAAAGCAGAAGGTAAACTAAGTCCTACTTTGAGTAGACCAATTTAAATGAATGAGCCTAAATTAGTTACCTGCCTCAAAGCTACCTGTTTCTTTTGGCTTCTTTTTTTAACTGGAATAGGTGACATTTCTTTGAATGGGAAGAAAATAGAAGTGGCTGCCATTTTCTTTTTCCCAGATAGCCCTATTCTGATGTGCTTATTGGACTTTTGGAAATTTACAATGTCCACCATCATAAACACACCCCACGGCCAGTGGCTGCCTCATTTGCCTTTCACTGGGGACTGTCATTATAGTAATTTTTTGTTTGTTTAGTTGCAAAGTTATGTCTGACCTATCACAATCCATGGACAACATTCCATCACGACCTCATGGACAACATTCCTCCAGGCTCTCCTGTCCTCCACCATCCCTCAGAGTCCACCCAAGCCCACACCCACTGCCCCAGTGACTCCACCTAGCCACCACATCCTCTCCCATCCCCTTCTCCTTTTGCCGTCAATCGTTCCTAGTATCAGGGTCTTCTCCAGTGAGTTGTTCCTTCTCATTAGGTGGCCAACGTATTTGAGTTTCTTCTTCAGAATCTATTATAGTAAATAGCAGTGGACTGTTTACAGAAAAAAAACCACATTTTACTAACTGAAAATGGTGTTAACTCCAGCAGTTCCTCTGAAGGAAGGGCAGCAATTGAATACTGCCTAGTCCAACACTGCCTGTTGACTTCTAGGCAAGACAGGGATGGCTTCCATGAGTGCAGCAGCAATGAACCATGGTGAAAATCTGTACTTTGATTTCAGTGAGTCTTCAATGTGTACAAAAATAAATTGGCTGTATTTTTGCTTTACAGGATGTTTCAAATATTTGTGTGCCAGTAACAGCTACAGGCAGAGGGGAATTTGGTGAATCATCTGGTAAGTAAATGTTAAACTGCACTGTAATTTTAATCCATGAAATACTGCTTTTTATTGCTTAGTTCTCAGAGAATAATGCAAAAGGCTTTGAGATAGATGACACTATTTGAGAAGAATCTGATTTCATGCCCTTGTTAATCAACTAGGTTTTTTTTAATTCTGATATTCCTGATGAAATAAATGGACCTCTGTTCCATTGGAATTAGTGCTCAGCAGTTGCTCTTTTTGCATATGGAGCTCTTTGTAAAGTTAGCTTTCCCTTTTAGTCCGGAGTACTAGTCAGCTACAGAAACCAAACTATGCAAATTAGATACATTGGATTGCTTGGAAAGCTGGGAATGTGTTTTGCTGGTGGATTTATATATGCATGCTTCCTTTGCTCAATGTACATGAGATGGGAGGGCTACGAGTCTACTGTATGAGCCATTCTGGGTGATTTTTTTAAAACATTGCATTTCATTCCTATACTGCCATATGTCCTATCTCCAACCCAACAGTATTTGTTTAGTATCCCATACAACTGATGAGGTGTAGTCTTGCTGAAGGGCCAGAGCCCCCAGCCTACATAAAATGGCTTTGATAATTCATGGGGCTAGTCACATAATGGCTGCCATGAAGGCCTTACTAGTTACAGGTGAGATAAAGAGGCATTGTGGGTAGAGAAATTATAAGGGAATTAATTGGCTGAGATGGACTGAGACATGGAAAGGCAAAGGGTGCTTTTTCCAGAATTAAAATAGGGCACTTTGTGCTTTGATAAGCGGTGAGTTCACTATGGCTTATTTAAACCATGGTATGTATGGTACATGTCAGTGGAGATTATGCATATTCAAGCCAGAGCAGGCTTATTATAATGTCCAAAACTGGCAAAGGGTGAATTGTTGCTGTGTTTAATAAACTGCCTAATAAAATCAGTCCATGGGTGGTTTTTCAATCACAGCAACAAATTACCCTTGCTGGGCTTGGATATTGTGATAAGCTGTGGTGAAGCCCACCATACCTTGAATATTTACAATGGCTGTCAGCATGTACCACAACCCCAGGATGCTGCGGTGGGTTCACACTTAATGCCTTGGGATGCATGCAGCCCCCCAGGTCACAGTCTGTATACTCCTGGTAAAGGGTTAGGGAACATCCCAATGAGACTCGCTTACTGCAAATTGTCCAAGATTAATAATTTGGATAGTCACATTGTTTGTTTGACCACATTAATTGGATGATATACAAACAAAATTGATGAATTCATCCTAGCATTGGTTAGTTGACCAAGATATCTGAGGACTACACAGATCACTGAGGTTCCTCTGAAAGCAACATGTAATAACATTGATGCTGGTGTTTTTACAGAAATCTATACAACTAAGTATGCAGATGGAGGCATGGTGAGTACCGGAGTCGAAGAAACAACAGGACTTGGCACAGCTAAAGGCTATGGAACTACTGCTGGTTATGGAACAACTACAGGCTATGGAACAACAGGAAGAAAAGAAACATTTGGAGGGACAATAAAAGAATACAGAGAAAGTGGAGTGAATATGGCTTTCTTAGACAGTTACTTTTCTGAGGTAATCCATGTTTGTTTGCTTGTTTTTAATATGCTGAAATTAGAATTTTTGCAGTTGACACTGGTTCTTATCACATGTGCAATGTCCATGTTGACATATATATTGGACTGATTTTAATTTTAGCTGAACAGGGAAATATTCAGGGACAGACAAGAAAGGAAGTATTTTCAACCCTGAATGAGGCTGCTTTGCCAAATGGTGTGTGTGTGCGGGAACAATTTATAATGTTCTCCAAGGATGCTGCTGAACCTCAGGAACCACCAGAATGTTTTCTCCAAGAGCTCCTGTGAAATTGTATCTGACTTCCTGGTTGGAAGAGTACAAGATCCCTGCTCTAAATACAGCAGAGCTGGGCAACATGTACAGTCCTATGAGCTGCATATGCTGTTAGGTTGGCAATCATCGTACAGAAAGATCATTGTCTTTCTGTAGGCCCATTTTCGTGCAAGCAAGCAGAGCTCTCTCACTTGCTGGCTCAGTGACTAGGTACATCATTCCTCCCTTCCTGGAAAAGGAAAGAGAGAAATAGAAATTTCCTGCCGCACATCACATGGCACAACTAAATTTAATTACAATGCTCAGCCTTCTTTTCCCTCACCTAAACCAACTGCTTTCTTTTCCTCTCCCTACTGCTAAAGATTGGCAAAATGTCCCCTAACAATTGAGGGTGTGCATCTTGTAACATATCTAACTTTTGCATAAGTCACAATATGCCATTAATAAGACGGCTGTGGTTATTTGGAAGCAAAATATCCCTATTCAATTGTAATGAATACACCATGGACATCGCACGTATTTGTAGTAATGAAAAATTTGTTGCCTTTGATCCCTTGGTTACTCTGTGAGCTAGGCAACTAAGTTACAGCATATCTATTTCATTTAAGGATTCCCATCTCTTTTCAGTTAGTTAACAAACCAGAGATAAAACTACAATTTGGTCATGATTTGTTTTAATTCATTAACTCTGGTTAAAACAAACCCTAGTTTGCCACATTAGTACATAATGGGAAACTGTGGTTTGTTCTAAAGTCCAAGGAGAGCTGAGCACATAAGCCTGAGGTTCATGCAGGCTTCTTTGTGATCACCTGAACCAGGGGGTCAGTGACTTTGGCAAGTGTGGCAGCTCTCGGGGACAACTGCTACAACTGCACTTCCAGAAAAAAATTAATGGCTGCAGCCTGCTCAGTTATGACAACAGTTCCATGGAAGTGCAGAAAAAATGTAACTTGCAGTTTGGGACACAGGATTTAGTTTGCTAGTATTCAGCTTCCTGGGGGTCTTATCTATTTTTTCTTTCTTCTGAACAAGAAGTCCTTAAGCCCACAAAAGTCTGTGGGAAAGTATTCAGGTAATGTCTGGTGAAGAAGACAACATGGACTCTAATTCTATTTTGCCCTTCCTTTATTTTTAGAAAGCCTTTGCCTATGCTGATGAAGATGAAGGCAGACCTGCAAATGACTGTCTCCTGATATATGATCATGAGGGTATAGGTACTCCTGTTGGTTCTATTGGCTGTTGCAGTTTTATTGGAGATGATTTGGATGACACCTATCTGGATACCCTGGGACCTAAGTTTAAGACCTTGGCAGAAATCTGTTTGGGTGTAGAAATTGAGCCTTTCCCAGATGTTAATGCACCTAGGCCCTCTCTGCCCAATCCTGATATTGATTTAAATCTGCCACCACCTGGATCTACCATTGTCATTAATACTTCTTCACCTTTGCTTCCACCTACTGCTGTTGGTGGCACAACCGTTGTTACTGAAAACACTTACACAGCTTCTTCTACTGTACAGCCTCCAGTTAGGCCTATCCCTGACCCTGTGCTCCCTGGTAATGTAGTGGTAACTGAAACGTATACATCAGGGCCAACACTAAAACCTCCCACAATCAGTGTGGATCCTCTCTCTGGCTCAAATGTTGTGGTAACAGAAAGAGTGCTTGCTCCTGCCGCAGTAACTGATTTGCATGGCATGATAGATATACCTGATCTCCCTGATGGGTCAAATGTTGTAGTCACAGAAAGGGTCATTGCTCCAAATTCTAGGATACCTGCTTCTATGAGCATTCCTGATCTAACTGATGGGTCCAGTGTAGTTGTGACGGAAAGAGTGATTCGGCCTGCCACTGGCATACAGGGCAATCTGAGCATTCCTTCGGAATTATCTACTGGACGCAATGTGGTGGTTACAGAAAGGGTGGTGTCTGGGGCAGGAGGAATGAATGCAGGGGTTGGTGGCATGAGTGGTGTTGGCGGTGTAGGTAGCATCACAGGTCATATGCTCGGAACTGATAATCTCCTTAATCAGACAATTGGTTCTGTCTCCCCTGGTACTTCTCGCAGAAGGGTAATGAAGTACAGTACTATACAGTATTCTAATCAGTAAGACCAATTACAGCTAAAAATTGTGGCAAAAGTCCCCAATGTTTTTTTTAGATTTTCCACCAAAGAATATTTTTATTATTTATACATAGCAAATTGCACTAGAGTTAAAAACATGAATGATTATCCTATAAAAGATTGTCTTAAATCTATCCCAAAAACAAATACAGAAGTAAAATTCTGGTACATTCCTCCTGCACCATGAAAAAATATATACATAATTGCAGAAACCATTGCTACAGACCCTTGTAGATCACATGGTGTTGAAGAGCATTGTTCATCTATCCAATCTCCAGTCATTTAATGAAGTCCTCTGTATTTGCTTGCTGTATTGTTGTTGTTAATATTAATTTCTTCTTGTCCGCATGACCAGAGTAGCTTCTAGGAATAGCCTTGAAGCCTTGAAGCAGTGAGCAGTTTTATTCAGTCCTAAAACTGTTTGCCTTGTTTTATAGCAGTTGCAGAGAATCTGTTCCAGATAATAACCCAGTATGTAACATGTAGTTCAGCTACTTCTTAAAGCTCTCTAGCTGGTGGGCATGAAGCAACTATAGAGATAGCAAATGGTGAGCTGAGTGTAGTCTGGAGGGAGAAGAAAACATGGACTACATACATCTCATGTGACTGGAATATAACAGATAGTCAACAGAACAGGTTTTATAAATGGGGAGATTGTGTGAATATTTAACTCCCCATTGCACATCATAAGTAATCAAAACATATTACTATTCTTTAACACCTTCTGTGAAGAAGTGTTTGAATACAAGGTCTTCATAGCTAGCATCGGGAAGACTTTGCAATTTGTCATGGAACTCCTAGTTTCATTAAATTCTACCAAAGTAAAGCTCTACCCAGTTTTTCATGCAAACTATTACCAAGTACATTGCTAGCTTTCTACAAAGTGTACTATAGAATTTACACAGGATATTGGCAGGAAAGAAAAAGCTACTTGGCCTTTTTAAATAACATTGTTATCAAAACAAAAAATGATAGGTAATAAAGGAATAAATGAGACAGTATATAGTAGTTTTATTCTGAAAGCCAATTGGAATATGAAAAGGTATATCAAGAAACCTTCCCTGCCAAATCTTTATTTTCACAATAACATTACATCCCCAAGTACTTGCTATCATGTTTTACATGCTGCTGTAAAGTACCAAGGCTGAAATCCTAAGTATGTTTACTCAGAATAAATCCCACTGAAAAACAGTGGGATTTGCTTCTATGAAAACATGAATTACTCATGGAGTAAGTAATGGATTGCACTGCACAAATCTTTTCTATGTTGTTTACTATTTTTATAGAAGCTTAAAATGCATAAGTTGAATCATTAAAACCCTGAAAATATGTACTATGTTGGCCAGGATCCAAAGACCTGCTTTAGTCAAGTCAGAGTCTTGCTTGCAACCAGCAGAACTTTGAGCTTGATCTTTGCAAAGCAGATCCCTCTGCTTTATCCCAAATGGCAGTTTATCAATATATGATTCTGAAGATAACACTTTTCCTTCCATGCACAGTTAAACCATTACTGGAGAGGATCTTTCTGTTTCCAGTCAGGTTTCCCAGGTGCAAGAGCTTCCAGTTGCTTAAAGGATGCAAATCCAATCCTTGGGCATGTCAAAAGCAGAGACGTAGTTCTTTAGATCCTGCTCTACTCACTTTAGTTATGTGCCATGGATAAACTGCAAGTAACTGCCATGTAGACAACATGCCTTGTGGTTTAAATATAGTTATTCACATTTTTCCCACCAGACCATAATAATCTACTTGTTATACACTTTATGAGCTCATTATTTTGGAAGGCTAACTTAAAAAAACTTAGGGATTTTTTTAAAGGTTTTACAGCTACTTAGATCTGCTTACAATGTTTCATTTCCTGACTTTTGTTTTCAAAATGTGTGCAGGGGAAAATCCAAAAAATAGCTACATGCACATATGTTACTGGTGTCAGAAGAGTCAGATATAAATGCAAAATCCATTTCTAGCACATCTATTTCTGCCTTATCTATTTGTGTTGCTTGTGACCTTTCCAAAGTGTGCACTTCCATTATGCTGCCACTTCCCTACAGACATCTTAAAAACATGAGGAAGATAATGTAACTTCAGAAGCACCTGCTAGTTTCTTATTTTTTTCATCTCACCAACCTTGAAAACAACAGGGGCATATCTGCACAAGCTTTACACTCTAAGTGTAAAGTTTTCTCCCAAACAATCTTGAAAATTATACTAGGACAGGGGTGCTGAGAATTGTGTTTGGTCTTTCTAGCCCCTCTTACAAAGTTTTCTAACCGGTCCCACAAGTACAATTTCTTAAAATTATTTAACTGAATGAGCTGATATGCTGTACCTTGGACGGGAACCACACTTAGCCATACCTACAGCAAACTCCTTATAATCAAGCAGACTTTAGTTGTGACCCGTCATTCCAAAGGACTTGTCATTAATCACTGAAGTGTGATCGAACCCATAGCTGGTGTGTCAGTGATTCCCAGTGTCAGTCCTGAAAAACCACGAATACTATTCTCATTTTGCATAGTTCAGTTGTCAAGATTTTTTCCATAATATCACAATAATACATTGGGTTAGATCCAGACTTAGTTAGACTTGCCCTACTGAAATCAATGGAACAATGTGATAAGTCCCATGGATTTCTGGGGATTTACTATGTCTGTCTGCAACCAATTATACTTAAAAACTTTATTTGGTAGTTTCTTGAATGGGGTATAATTACAAGTGTTGATAATCATCGCTATGGAAACCTAATGGTTCAAAGCCCTGCTCAAATGGACCTTAACTGTACTTATGAATAGTATGATTCATATGTGGCTTTCTGATTTGGTATAACAAACTAACATTCAAGGCACATATTTCCCTTTCAGTAAAAGAAACTGACAGTGAAACAACTTCCCCAAGTATGTATCTCACATAAATTATGATAAACATTAACTATCAGTTTGTCAAGAGCAGCCAAGCTGAAAACATTATGATTTCCATAGGACTACATGGCTGCAATTTACAGAGCCCTCATTATATACATTTTCTTAACACTTTATGAAAATGACTTATTAGAACTAATGTCTGAGAGTAAAATTATTCCAAATAAAAAATGTAACTTTGAACATTTTTGAGGTATAGCAACTTTCTTGTCTTTAGTGTTCACTGATACTCTGTGCAGTATCTTTTCTTTACTGTTTAATAATCAGCAAATATACTTTAACATTTACTTTTCCTCTTATCAAGAATAACTTCATGAAGTTGCATGCCCAAAGCATTTCTGAGAATTAACTCTTATTACCATTTTCTATTGTGATCATTTTGTAAAAGAATTGTTTTGTTTTGTGAGTGAACTATTAAAGCTCTGGGGTTACAATGGATTGGCAGGTCACATCTGATTATGTAAAATAATATTCAGTTAATAAAAACTTCTGATCAAACTATGTTGTTAGATTTATTTACTATTAATAGGAGCTTCAATCTTAAGTACATATTCTAGAAAGCAAGATGTCTTATTGTTATTCTTTCTCCAAGTTCCTTAGAAGCCAATCAGTTCCATTCAGTTCAAAGGCACTCTGAGAAGATGGGCTTTGAGTCATAATGGATGGGTTGGTTTCTTTCCATCATATAAACAAAGGGTGTTATTTCTTTTTGTATTCGATAATGTTATACAAGAATTTCTCAAAAAAAAAAAAAATGAAACCGCGAGACAATAGGTAGGATCCAATATTTGAATAAGTGGAGTTCAGTTAATGTGCAACACTCCACTGAAAAGAGTGGGGAGGCAATTTTTTTCTTATTTCTCTTCCCCTTGTACCCTTGTACCACCCCCCCACAAAAAAAAAAAAACTTTCTTTGGAGGGTTAATATTCCCTTCCTCCTCCAAAAAAATATGGGAGCAGGTAACAAAAAAAGACTGCATTAGGAAAAACCATCCCTCTCAACCTAGCTGGATCTGAGTCACTTCTGCAGATGGAAGGAACCCTTTTATTTGTCCATAGGAGCAATGGGGAGCTGACGCCTCTAGAAGGTGGGATTGCGCTGCCTACAAGCCCCAGCATGTCTGCCAAACTACCCCCTCCATTGGCTCAAGCAACTCAAGGCTTCTACTGCCAGGAGTACCTTTATAACCATAAATTCAAATCCCAGATAGCCATGGTAATAAATGGAATCACCATGATCCAAGGCAGTATTCATCTGGATACAGATGCTGGGACAGGCAACAGAGACACCCTGTTCTCTCAATGAGTATCCCTACCAATAAGCTTTCCAAAGTAGAGGAAACAGCCAGTGGAGGCAACTGGACTAACTGCAACCAGGACCTTACAAGATCATGAATCTACAAAGATTTCCATACACTGAGCATGGGATCCTACTGCTGTGGGAAAGCCAGAAAAAAAGTGCAGTCACTGAAGTATGAGCAGTGTGGGCTTCCAGCACCAAGTTCACACAGCAGAGTGGGAGTGGTTGGAGTTATGGTGGCTTCTTTTTCACACCACCAGCCTACTGAGCCCGCACCATGCAAAATTGCCCATTACGCCATGCTATGCAGGTTGTTTTGTCATCTGAACCCAATGTGGTACACAGCGAAGTGACTACCATACTTCCCCAGAATACCTATCTTGTGGTCACCTAAGCCAAGCCAATGTCTGAAGTATGCATGCTTACAGGAATATTCCTATGTGTTTAAAATAACCAGACCTATAGAATTCAAATCTGCATAAAATTGTATATGCTAATATTATCTATGTGTATAAATCCTTTGCTTCCATTGTTTTGCATTGTAGCATATTTTATTAATTAAAATATTTGAATTTTGTTTGATATGTCCTCCCTTTGCAAGGGAAAACAGAAATGGGTTTGTTTAGGAAAAAAGGTTGACTGAACAGCAGTGTCTGAAGCTGAGTCAAACTAATGCATGAGTGTATGGCTTTCCCTTTCATACTTGAGTGTGTCTGGAGCTCCTCAGCTCTACAATCATCTCTGTGGAATGCCTGCTTTTCACACATC